GGTGTAGGCCAACAACGAAAGTGATTTATATTTCCAATAATGAAAGTGACTACACCGCCAGCCCAAGAGTCCTGCTCCTGTTTACACTCGGGCCCGGAACATTTAAATTTAAATATTTTCGCCTATGCCCTGATTTATTATTTTGCACCGCACAATGCAAAGAAAACAGGAATCCTGGCCCGGAGTTGTGCTGGTTTCACGCCCGAATCGCTCGCCAAAGGAGTGACGCGAACCGCTTTTATTTGTCTTGACTTGTCAACTGAGGTGATTAAAATTTAGGGATTCCAAAGCCCCAACTCAAAAAGAATTGTCAAGCCGAAAATGAAAAGGAAAAGGTAGACAGTTGCCTTGCAAATTAGTTGGTTGGTTGGGAAAAGTTTTCCGGAGAGATTGACTCTTTAATGCGATAAATAGCTGAGGGTTCAATTCTGAAACGACCATGAATGGCACTTAATGGCCTAAAATGTGAATGAAATCCGAATGAATTTAGAATTAGCTGACCACTCCACCAAACGAGTCCTCTTTTCTATCTCTGAATGAGTTGCTAAATTGAAGAACCATTTTTAAGTGCAATTATACACTTTTGTTATTATGCTCATGCCACTGCTTCATCAACATTTTTTATTTAGGTTAAACAAGAGGTAAAAAAGAAAATATGAAATGTTAATTTATTCGAAGAACCCTCGTTCACATTAAAATTATGAAGCCACTCAACCCACAAGCACTCCTTTCCCGCACATATACCCTTTTCAATTAAAATTAGTTTAAGATTTTTGCCAAATACTTTATTAACATAAATCATGCTGGATTATTCGGTTTTCATTTCAATTTACATTTTAAGAAAAACTTTTATTAGAATAAATAAATTGACATTGCTTTACATTTTGTTAAAATTCTTGTCTTATGTCGATATACCTTTAATTTTAAAGGAATTACCGATTTAAGGTGTGCAACATATTCTGTTTTCAAACATGCCACTATGTTGTCGGCGTTTCTCTTTATTTTCTTTTAGTTTGTATTTTTAAACATGCACTAAATGTTCCCCTTGTGGCAATTTAATAAATATAAAAGCCAAGCCAGGACTCTAGAGCAACCCACACAGAGCCATTAAAAAGTACAGGGCCGGCTGACCCTAAGACGAAAAATATAAATATAATATTGTTATAACATTGTATAGTAATAATCTTGTTAGAAATAGTAAGGAATTATATTCCAAAAAATATTAAATAAATACTTAAAAATGAAATAATAAAACAAATAAATGAATTTCAAAGTGCCTATTTTTATATAAATTTTTCTCAACAAAACTCATAAATGCTGATTCCGCTCCTAGCTAAATTAAATGTTCACTATTTTCAGCCTGGGGCCAAAAGTCGGCGCCATTGGCCACGTCAATTGAATGGTAGGTGGAAAGCCAAAAGTGTTGGCCATAAGTCAGAAAACATGAATAACAAATCAATTCAGTTTCAGCGGCAAAGCAAATTCCTCAGCACACACAGCCATAGAGAACACGGAGAGCAGCCGGCCGAAAGGTGAGAAAACCAGGTGTTGAAAGCAAAGCAAAGGCAGGAAAGTAGGGAAAGACGCTGAAGAACTTGCCCCCTCAAACACACACACAAACAGATTCACACACACACTCCATGGCTGGGTGTTAATGGCAGGCTGGGCGTCGGGCATTTTGAATTTTTAATGGAAAATGGCCCGTCTGCTTACACTTTTCCCCGTCCGCCCATTTCCTCTTACCCCCGTGGAATGTACCAGATTTTTTTAGGCATGTTTGCATACACTTACGGCCAGCCAACTATGCATATGCATGTGTATGTGAGACCGTTTCCCCTCCCCGCGGCGGCCATTGCCCCTACCCTTTTCGGAGGGGCTCTCTTTTTTATGCCCCTCGGCAAAATTGTCCGGTAATAAATTTTCAGCGTTTCCTGCCGACAAAGCGCCGCACTTTACAACACTTTTGGCATAAACAAACAAACACCTACACTACAAAAAAGTTTTATTATTCACATTCTTCACATAAAATGCTAAAAATATAATGCCCCAAATAAGTATGCTATAAAATAGTAAATACTACATCATAGGATTCTAAGAGGTTTTAACTTATCTTTTAATCCAAACTCTTTTAGATTTTACTACCATTACTTGTTTTCAGTGTATCTGTTTATGTGTGCCGCTGTCCATGCGTGTGAAAGGATGTGTGTTAAGAGTGTGAGTTCGGTTGTAGGTGTAGTGGTGGCCATGTAACGGAAGTTAAGTACACACTAAGTTGAACTCGTGCGCTTGTAGCGGCGCTTCCTTTATATGTTTTGATACTCTCTCACACATGGATACACCACCTCCCCGTGGCCACCTGCAATACAGAGGCCCCAACTCCCACGAAAACACCTCCTCCGCCCTCTTCCGCTATTTGCTTGCAGGTGAAAATGTTTGAGATTCTGCCGGTGCTGTCCAAAAGCTTAGAACAAAACTTTCTGGTATGCCATCAACATTGATGTACCGTACTCGCAGATCCTGCCCACCCTTGCCACTCACCTCTCCACCCCCTCCATTTATGCCAGCGACTGGATGGTGAGTGTGTTAAGTATGTTTTTTGAGTAATTCGTGTAGACAAGAGCTGCTGTTCCAAAATAGGAGCACAATGGGAAATGGCTGGCTCACTCCTTCCCAGTTTTAAATGCTTCTATAAATTAGCCAAGAGCTGAAAACTTTGGCTAAGACTAAGTGCTTATTAATACAGATTCAGTTATACTATTGAAATGTTATTACATCTTTTTTATGCAGAATTTTCTAATAAGATTCCAGAAAAATAATTGATAAGTTTATGTCCTATATACTTACTATTATTCTAAGAGGTGTATTATTTCCTAACCTTTTAAAATATTCTAGTTTTCGAAAGGAAGCAAAAGCGACATAAATTCCATGGTGGAGGATCCAGCTCAAGTGTTGGTAAGTTGGCCTCGTTGTTAATAGAACACTTGACAACACTGGCTGATTATGCACAGGTGCCAGGAGTGAGGTAAGATCCTTTTACAGGTACAAATACATACGTATGAGACTTACACGACTCATTCAAGGATATGCATCTTTAAAAGTGCGCTTGTCTCTGTTTATGTAGTACCCTCATTAACTGTCATTACACAATTTCCATAAAAAAAGAAGTGTGTTTGAGTGTGTAATTTTAGTTTCTTCAGCCCCGAAGCTCCAGCAAAAGTTGCCAGCCTGCTCCGCCGTCCTCTCTTTTCTCCATCCGTTCACCGGCATGTGAGCTTGCGAGTCTTTGTTTGTCTTTAGAAAAAAAAGTTTTTAAATTGTGTTAAATATTCCATTAAACAGAAAGCTTTTTGTATGCAGTTGCAAACAATTGTTGTTGCGATAACAAAAACAAAAAAACGGGGAAAACTGTCAGTGGCAGCGATAGAAGTAAAAGAACAAGAGATGCGCGTGCCACAGATACATAAGTTGCCACAGTTAAAGGCTGTGGGCCGAGGCAGATCCCACGCTCCACCCACTTCGATCAGCCCTCCCACACAAGCACAAGCACTCCCAATAAGCCAGGAATTTTTATTATAATTTTATGCTCAAATGCAGGCCACTTTATTTTTCACGGCAACGGGAGGGGCGGTGTTTGGGTTAAAAACTTTTGCCAACCATCAAGTTTATTGGGGGGCTTTGCAATTGCAGCGGCGGGGCATTAATTGAGCCACCGCGCTTTTAAAATAATTGCCAACATGCAACTTTTCTTTTGTGTGCCATGCGGTCTCTTCGAATCAGATACACGGCTAATGAACGAACGACAATATTTCAATAGAAAATTATTATGAAAGTCCATTTTTAATTGTCTATACAAACAAGGACATCCTTTTAAAACATGATTAGGATCTAAATTGGTTTGGCACTAAATTAAAATATATGAAAAAAATACTTTTATGTATGAGACTGCTTTATCGCAGCGATCTCTTCATCTGAAGTCAGTCTTCACTCAGTCGTGAGCCTATGCAGCCACGGGCAAATCATAGATTTCCAGTCATTATAATTAATCCCTAAACTTCTATACTGTTTTAATTCTTTACTATTTTCATCACTTAATAAATTTAATATATGCTTTCATACATAAAATAGATTATATTATTTATAGTGATGTAAAGATCACAATGAGGCATTTCCTGATCCTGATGAAGGACGAGTTTTCTTTTGGAAGGAAAAAATTACACAATACCTTTAAAGTGGCTCTTATAAAAACCTAAAACTTTTTAGCGGGTAGATTTAATTTTTAATTAAACAATAGCTAGATATATGTACCTAAGCATTCTACATACTAATCCTAGAGCAGTCATATCCAGTAGGAACCTTCTCCCAACATCCTTTCCGAACTAATAGAATTACATATGGATTTGTATAATTAAGAATCTTTTTCCTTCTATTTTAAGGTAAAAAACCGATCCGGTTTTTATTTCTAGTTTTATATTAAATTTATCCCGTTTCCCACAGGATCTTAAGACTGTAAAGAGAGGGAAAGATATATAGAGAGAGGAAGAGATAGAGATTGTGACAAAACAAGTGTGACCGCATTTTAAATTTATATAATATTACTAAATTTTAATAATTAACAACTAATTAAATAATAATAATATCCCCCATTATTTTATTGTTATAAAGTTAATAGAAAAAAATCAAACTTGTCAAGTTATTGCGAACTAAAAAATATATTTTACAATGGTTTTCTTGAAATTTTATTTTTATTTGTATTTTGTAACAATTACTTTTTTAAACTGAACCCTAAAGAAATATAAATTTATAACTTTTTGTACATGCATTTATTTTCTTTGTTTTCAACCCCTTAGATTGTTTACATTTTCAAGAAACAGCTGGTGGCGTCAAACGGTGGTATTTTCGAATACCAAAGAAAATACCGAATCCGTTCAAAATATTTAAGAGGACCGTTTGTGTGGTGAAAAGAAAATACCAAAATCCCATGGGTATTTTAGGGGGGACGCACACCCACCTTTGACAACACTAAGTAGGCCCAGCGAGAGGCAGAAGCAAAAATTGTTTAATTTAATTTAGAGCAATTACAATTAGTTCGTCGTGCCAGATCTCTATTCTCGTTGTAAAAGCGCCCCAGAACGAGGCAACTGGTGTAAAGCAGCGCAACGCGTTCCCCGCTCGGTCGCTTATTCTTGATTTTCCAATCGCCGGAAAACGCTGCCGAAAACGAAAACACAGGAACGGAAAAAATGCCGTGGAAAATGGGCCAGGGCGCAACGCTGGCGTTGCTAGTGGCCTCCTGTTTGCTTCTGAATGCTGCCACGGGGGCTCATGCCGCCGATCCGACAGCGGAGTCCGACGATTTCGAGGACGGCTATGTGGAAGATGTGCCGGTGAGTTGCGATAAAAAAAAAAAAAGTGGAGAAAAAAAGTACACGTCAGTGGCAGAAGCTACTAGAAGAGCATGTGGTAAGGGGTGAGGGCTGGAGGCCAAGAGTGTGACGGCCGCCGAAAGGGGGAGGAGCAGGTGGTACGGCCGGCGTTTTGATTTTTATGACCCACAATTAGCATGCTCGTGTGTGAGTTTTCCAGTGATACTTTTGAGGAAAGTGTTTACACACAGTCTGGGCCATAAAACTAGAAGCCCCGCATGACCTACTAAAAGTGGTTATCCATAAATATATGTAAGCCTTAAAGTGGTTATCTATTACTCAGGAATACTCTTTTCGTTTCATAACATTACATTATTTTTTAACTTATTTTTTATATTTTTAATATATACCTTTATATATTATATTACAACTATTATCATTCAAATAATATTTTTCATCTAATAATTATAATATATTCAAGAAATAACTGACCATTATAGCTACATAGTTACCGCCACCTGTAACTCTTGTCTCCTACTTTAAAATCACTATTTTTTATCTCATTCCCTCTACAAATACCGCGTGTTTCAGATTTTATCGCACCTTATCTAACGTATAAACTTTGAACATATCTTTCAGGAGGAGGAACCGGCCACCGACAGCACTGATGAAAACCTGGTCTACGAGAGCCCTGTGATTGATCACAACAAGTTCCACTTTGCGGATCATTTTGACGATGTTGAAGCCTCCAGGAAGAACTGGGTCTTGTCGCAGGCCAAAAAAGATGACATAGCCGAGGAGATATCCAAATACGATGGCCTATGGAACTGGGAGTCGCCGCAGCGCATCGTTTGGGCGAACGACCTGGGTCTGGTACTCAAGTCGAAGGCCAAACATGCGGCTATCGCTTCCCGTCTGCGCGAGCCCTTCGATTTCAAGCAAGACAAGCCGCTGGTGGTGCAGTACGAGGTCACGTTGCAGGTACTATCACCACCCATCCGCCCACTGAACCGCTCAAGCGCTGAACCTCTCGGATTGCATCAGCCGTCCGGCAAATCCAATTAATACCCGCTTACTGACCCACTTCTTTCACTATCTCTTCTCCATTTCGTTTTTTTAGGAGGGTCAGGAGTGCGGTGGCTCGTATCTGAAGCTTCTGTCCGCCGGAAAGGAGACGGACGAACTCACGAACGTAAGTGCGGGTGGCAATGCCCCCCGAAAACAGCAGCTGGCTAAACCATAAACAACCCCCGAATATGTATATTTGTAGTTCAATGACAAAACACCCTACACCATCATGTTTGGACCGGACAAGTGCGGGAGCGATGTAAAAATGCACTTTATTTTCCGCCATGTCAATCCAATTAATGGCACCATCACTGAGAAGCACTGCAACAAGCCGAAGTAAGTTTTGGGGAAAATATTAATCCCTTCAATAATAGGAGTAATCTTATGATTCATTTTATGAATTGCAAACTTTATCAGTTATACTTTCGACTTTTAACGTGCCAATTATCTTTGATTGCTACTGTTAACACCCCTTAATGGTTTCTCGTCACCATGCTGGACTTTATTCCCAAGTGTTCCGATTTTCTTTGGAGAGATAAGAAGTCGCGTCTATTTATACCTCCCAGATGATTAACAGCCTTTCGGTCATTTACTTTTAGGAACCGCCTGGAGGAACCATTCAAGGACAAGCTGCCGCATCTGTACCAGCTGGTGGTGCGCCCCGACAACAGCTTCGAGATTCGTGTGGACCACAAAATTATCAACGAAGGCTCACTGCTTACCGATTTCAAGCCCCCAGTCAACCCTCCGGCTGAGATCGATGACCCCAATGACCACAAACCAGAATCATGGGACGAACGCGAGAAGATCCAAGATCCAACTGCCCAGAAGCCTGACGATTGGGACGAGGATGCTCCACCACAAATACCCGACCCTAGTGCTGTCAAGCCCCAGAACTGGCTGGATAATGAGGCTGATATGATCTTTGATCCCACGGCCGTCAAACCCGACGACTGGGATTCCGAAATCGATGGCGATTGGGAGGCTCCGCTGGTGGACAATCCGGCCTGTGAAAAGGTTGGCTGCGGAAAGTGGAAGGCTCCACTTATTCCCAACCCCAACTACAAGGGCAAGTGGCGTCCACCAATGATCGAGAACCCCAACTACCAGGGCAAGTGGGCACCCCGTAAGATTCCTAACCCGGACTTCTTTGAGGATCTGAAACCATTCCAAATGACACCCATTGTAAGTGGTTTTCTTGCACTCTAAGCTCCCGATATTTGAGTTGGCATTTTGTTGCTTATCCCTCAGGGCGCTGTGGGCCTGGAACTGTGGTCGATGTCCAGTGATATTCTCTTTGACAATCTTATTATTACGGACGACGTGGATGTGGCCCGTGAATTTGCCGCCAACAGCTTCGATATCAAGCGTCGCTACATTGACCGCGAATCGGTAAGTTGTGAGACAACCTTTTCCCATTCCCCTTACAAAAATACACAGAGACACGCCATGGATAACTATTTACTTGTTTGATCTGAAGAAAACATTCTGGCACCGCCTGATGCGCCGCATGAACTACAAGCCCGGCTGGTGGGCCCTGTACTTCTTGTACCTGCTCATTCCGGCCAGTTGCTATGTCTTCTATCTGTACCGTCGCGCCAAAGAGGTTGGCCCACGTGCCCTATCTTTTGCTGCTATATTTTAGATAATAACACTGACGAGACACCCTACATGAACACTTTCATATTGGCCCTTGCACTTGCACCCGTAATCGCTATTGCTATTTTTTGGCTTTTTCATTTCGTAGGAATCATTCGTGAATAAGGTAGTCGAGCTAGCCAAGGCCTACCCCTCGGTCTGGGGCATTGGCCTGGTGGCCATTGTGGCCTTGGTGGTCATCGCCTTCTACTGTAGATTTGGTTCATCTAAGAGTAAGGTAAAGTGGCTTTTTCATCGAATTTTATAAAATTATTCCTATTTATGTATCTAATATTGCGTTTTGGAATTTAGGATGCGGCTGCCAAGCGCTCCGCCGCCGCAGCTAAGAAATCTGATGAGCCCCAGCCGGATGATGAACCCAAGCCAGAATCAGAGGAGGAGGAGAGCGATTTGTCTGGCGAGAGGGCTGCTGGTGATTCGAGCAAGGAGAGCACTCCACTGTCCGCTAGTCCCAAGAACAAAAAGTCTGATTTAGATGTTAACGAGGAGACCAAAGCGGAGGAAACTCCAGAGGAGCCCGCACAGACTGAGGTAGGTTTTTAACTTAAATTATTATTTAATGTTATACTATAAAATCTTAATCTTATTTTAGGAAACTACCACAAAAGCACGCAAGCGTACTGTTCGCAAGGATTAAGCGGGCATCCTTAAGATCTGAAGAAATCATATTAAAACTTTAAAAACACTATCCAATTCCATTATGGCAGCGGCTGCTTAGAGAGCAACAACTTACTGACCAACAGCCAGTCAAGAAAAATTTATTTTAAAAATGCTGAATCTTTGCCACGGCCCCGCATCATCTCCCTCACAAACACACACCCCCCAATCATACACACGTATTGTGGAATACACACACACATGTACACGAATCATATGTTCGTTGGCTGGCTCCGGATATCCAGCTTCCAATGCAGTCTTTAATTTAAATTAGTAGTTTACGTGGATCGGTTTAGTCAACTTTATACGTATGTACTTTGCTGTATTATCGTTGCATTTCTGTTGTGTTCGAGCCCGATATTCCCTTAACCCCTAAAAAAAAGATTCCCAATCTAGTTTTGCATTCTTTAGGGCAATCACCTTCCCTTCTATTCGAAAACTATTCATTTCTGTAACAAAAAATAACTAAAAACGAACACCAACTAGACAAATGAGGGAAACAAATAAGAAAAAGCCAACAAAGATGAAACTAAAGCAGAGAGAAAATTAATGGCAAACATAGTTTAATATTATGTAATTTAAACGAAATTGAATAGTACGTAACTATCGTTTCCAAGTTTCCACTCAAGTTTCCATTTTCATTTATATCGATGAAAATTTACAGCGAAAAATAAAACTAAATGTCAAAACCAAAAACTGTGAATTATTCGCCAAGGACTAAGGACCCAACAGGGCAGCGTTCAACCACCGAATCCCATTTGGACTTCCATCAACTCCGCACCAGGCTGTGCGGTGTTAATTTAAATGTCAACCCCCCCAAATTTTGGCCTGGAGGAGATACCAATCGGGTTTATTCTGCTCGATGGTGCGTGTGGCGTCGACCGGACCAGACACACTGCATTTGTGCGGTTTTTGGGTATTTCCCTAAAAATATTTCCATTATTTAGCTGATTGGTTGATCTGCCTGATGGCCTGATGGCCGAAAATACATTTAACAACAATTTGCGAGCCAAGAATAGGAAAGGCTGTGCAAAGGAAACTCTTGCCAATCCATTTCACTGATGCTGTGGCGCTGATTTCGAAGCCGATAGAATCGACATGTGAATTGAGTCGGGCGGGCCTCCTTTTTTGTCGCTCTAAATAATTCAATTCAATTTCCTAAGCTCATAAATATGCCAAACCAGACAGGCAGTCCTTGTTAATGGAATTGTTATGACAACAGTAAACCAATGACGATTTGCATACGCAAAGTCGGGCGGGCTTGTGGGAGTCACATACAGGCCATTGAAAATTAGATTTATGCCCGCCCGCCAGATGCGAACTTGACTCCCAGATAACCCTTCGATTGCCAAAAACCGGAGGGCAATTCAATAAAAAGATTAAACGATTCGCCGAAATGTCTGGCCCCATGGCCGGTCTCACTTAAAAGGATTAAAATTTTGCGGCTAGACTGCGCTGCATATTAATATTTTTATGGCGAATGGTTAGATGCAGGGGAATCCCCATAACTCAAGCATAGACAAAGGCCTCAAGGGTTGCCGCTGCACCCAGAAACAAAACAAAACCACAGAACCACCCGTTACTCAACTCTGAGTAAGCATTATAATTTTAATAAAAATGTTTTCGTTTGTCAAAGGCAGCAACTTTCTGCGAACCCTTTGCATACCCAAGACCCGGAACTCCGATCCAGAAAATTCGCCGGGGTTAGGGCTTTTAAGTGCTCCAGGTTTCCGAGTGAGCAGAATTAGTTGAAAATATTTTTTGGCATGGGTCAGCACGGGACACTCCTGGGAGCTCCCCAAGCTGCGGAGTCCTGATTGAAGTTAGATGCCAATCGATGCGTAAGCAAAATAGAACCACCATATGTAATGCTATTTCAGGGAGGCGACCCCATCAACCCCATACAAGAATCAGCATCAACTTGGGGTTGTCCCCGAGGGTTGCAAAAATAAGTACGCGATGAGGTCTACTCTCCTCATTACCCGCTATTTTGGCAAGTCCCTGCAATTAAGGATGGCATTATGTGATCCAATCGCCTTGCAAACTGCCCCCAGGCACGAGAGTCCTGGAATTAATTGCCGAGCATTGCAAGCTCGATTTCATCATAAAGATTTCGTGTTACAGATAACAATTCATAAAAATAAATTGGTTTTTGAATGCCTCTTAAGACCTGTTCGAAAATATTGGTTTCTGATTTATTGGATTTTGATATTGCTTTTATTGATTTAACACAGAGATAATCGTCTTATGGCCTTTCAGTTGTATAATCAAGGAGTGTATACGCTTGAGCCAGCTTTGTAAATTATATTGAAATTAGAATACGTTTGTTTTTCTTATAAAAATACGTTCCCCTTGTTCGTTCTATAATAAAATTTTATAACAATATCTAACTGGTTACTTACTGAAGTTTTCATTTCATGGAACACACGTTTCAGGAGTTGTGGCTCCATGATGAGCCTGGTAATAGAGATTCAGCGAAGGGTCATTTCTTTATAAACATAAAGATCAGCATCGTCCGGGTTTCGTGATTCGAGAAACATTTTAGCATCGGCAGGCACCTGGCGTCCAGGAGAAGTCCAGGCCTCAAGATATTTTATATACCAAATGAAAGGTATTTGTCTGTAGAATATTTATTTCTGCTTATTTATGCAGTAGATTTCGCCGCCTAAGGGATATTTTGATTCGGTTTTTATTTTTGATTATTAAAATAAAAATCACAAAATAATTTTTATAATAAAAATTGATTGAAAATTGAAAATTGATAAAATTTTTTCACTTTTATTTTCACTGAATGAGTCGGAACGGCTGGGATCGGCCGACTATATCCTATAGCTGCCATATAACTGATGAATCGGAAATGCCTTTCCTTTGAATTTTTTTGGAGTTTAAAAGTTGGAAATTTCTATGGAATCTATTGTTGGCCTATTGTCGTACCTAACAAATTCATAAAAATCGGATCGGCTTGCTTCCATATAACTTCTATAGATAGAAGCTTGGGAATTTTTTAATAATGTTTAGGATATAAATTTTACAATGAAATTCTCCTAATGAAAAAATATATGTATGCTTTATCCGATTTTAACTACAAGGGTATTTCAACTTCATTCAAAGTTAGATTTTCTTTTCTTTTTTTAATTATGTATAAACCAACTCATTCTTGTTATCCAAAAATAATCATGTTATCATTATTAACAAATAATCGCTAAAAGCTAAATTATCGTTTGATATGTTTGGTAAAAAATAATTTTTTTTTTTTGAACTTTATGACCATAAATATTAAACATTACTTAAAAAATATAAATTGTCATTATATGTATATATTATATTATGAGCGTGTTAAAGCTTATTTAAGGATTGAAAACATTTGTGTTGTTTCATACATCAAGGAACATAATTTTATTTAGCATAGGTTTTGATTATTTAAATCCCGCGTTTGCTTTGAAAGTCTTATTCGATAACTACTATCGATAAGAATTGCACTTTACATAATATCTACATTTATTTACATAAATGTTTTGATTGACATAAATTTTACCGAGTTTTTTACATATACGCAGTGTTTATTTTACACATCCCAGCGGGACATTTTTTCAAAAACCTTTAGGTAAATACACATTTTAGGTCCTTTTAAACGTAGTTATACGCGAATTTACTTACTTTATGTAGTTACTGAAAGGTAGTGTTAAACACTGAACATTTAGTTTGAAAAAGAAAATCAGGATGTACAGGATAGAAAATTAGAATGTAGATACATTCCAATGTGTTTACGTGAGTTATTAGATCGTTTCCCTTAATTCGAAAATCAAACACAAGGATTATTTCAATTTGGCGCCACTTGATAAACAGGACAAGAAATCATATAAATATATATAATTCTTTAAATAATGAGAACAGTAGTAACTTCAATACAAATACAATAAATTATATCATCGTTTTAAATATACGTTATAAAACGTTTTAAATATATTTAAGAAAAAGATTTTTAAAGGTTTAAAAATGAGGGACCTTTACGAATCAAAATAGCGAGGCATTTGTATCCTTGACCGTTAAAATCTTTCAAGATATTCAGACAACATGCTGGTTGCAGTATCTAAACAGGATTTTGCGCATTAGACACCTTTTTGAATGCATTATAGTAGGGTCCCGCAGGAATAAAGAGCCCTCGTCCTTGGTGGTGGTCAGCCAATCATTAATATCCTTGACCAGCTCCTTGAGCGCGCAACTTGAGCAGCGCAATCTGGCGGTGTAAAGACAATAAAATTTGATTGTAAATCGTTTATCTTCATTACGCGGCCAGCGTCAAAACTCTGCAAATAACCGCAGTTTGAAAAGTTGCCAAGTCGGTGACCGGAAACCGGTTGCCGTTTTCATAAATGCGCCGTTGGCCGTTGTCCGGCCGGGTTCAAGTGTCCACCCCGGCCAAGACTTATTCGAGGAGACTTTTAGGAGACCCACCCATCTTTAACCCATTGCAACCCCTGCAACTGCCGCGGATGCATGAGTGACCCCGATGCCCGAGGCTTTATGTAATTATATTTCTTTTGTGCGCCGCTTAGTTTGTCTTTTCATTGCCTTGTTCTTGAGATTAAGCTTTTGTTTTTCCATTTAACGCTTAATTTCAACATTTTGATGGCCTAACGCGATTTGCTGACCCCTCCGCGCTGCGGCAGGATGGGATCGGTTACACAATATCCGCTGATCCTTTGAGCAAACGCAACTGACCGCAACTAAACAAACACTTGGCTTGACCAACGGGTTACGCTTCGATCCGCATTTGACTTACGACACAAGAAATTTGAAATTTTAATTGCATTAAAAAAGCCAGAACCCGTAGTTGGTCTATTGTCCTGTCCGGAGTTGTTTGTTTTACCGAACGGGACCGCTTAACCTTTTCCCTCGACCATTCACATGATACTTGCGTTTTAGCTGACCAGTGTCCATTGTCTCACGGGTTGCTTTTGATGCACTTTCCCGTCCTGTTTGCACTATATTGTTAAGCGGATCAGTTTCCATATCAAGGCTCCTTGACCGCAGCTCCCTGCCTTCCCTGCCTTCGGCTGCGGTTGAGCTTCGATTTGCATGTGCACGATTTTTGTGGCTCATTTTTCGGCAATTTTCGACAGCACTCCCCAAATTTCAAGATCCATTCAGAATCCAGCCAGAACTCAATTTGGCGTGATCATAATTTTGTAGGTACGTGCCCTGCACGCTTTGGTGGCCTTTTTGCGAAATAACAAAAGAACTTAGTACAATTGCATGAACATATTAAGACGGCATCTAAGATATCTAAAGTCGGTCTGGCTTATACCCTTTAAAGGTTTGTTATGATGGAGTAGGTTTTTACAAAAAGAGGAAATAAATTGTTGCCTAAAAAATCAATGAAACAAAAATATGTTGTATTCCCCCATTTTAGCTTTAAGATTACGAGGGCGTTCTCGAAATTCCATTACCCTCGGTGAGGGTAAGTTGGCAAATAATTTGCGTTGGATTCCAAACTGACGCTCCCCAATCTGAGCCGATCCTGGCATCCTGCCTCCACACAATATTGCGTGACTTTACGTGGGCCCCGAAATTGACTTTGATCTGGCACTCAT